ATAGCTTACAGTGTAACCACAAAAGTATTTTCATTATTTAAAAAAATAAATCAATGAAATAAAGGATAGTGTCTCTCTTAAAAAGCAGGGCTTTTTGAATAGCTGTTATTTAGCCATAGTGGGAAGATTATAAAGTATCCTTGAAATCTCCTGGAAACTTACTGGAATCGAGAGAAGAAAAATGACGGCTCACCCATCATTAATCATGTGGTTAGCTTTCATTTGCAGGCTGAGATAGATGAAAACAAACAGGAGCAAAACATTATTTATTGCCTTGTGTGTCTTAAAAAGCACAAATAGAATAAACTGTCTCTACTGTACACAAAATTGATCTCTTTCCCTTTTTCACAAAACAATTCCTTTCGTTCCAGATTTGGTTAATATAACCAAAGGTAAATCTTTACAATGAGCAGAATACTCAGTTTACAACTTCGAAAGGTTAAAAAGATCTTCCTGTACTTTTCTTACTCAGTAGTGAAAGTCCAACAAAATAATGATACGGTAATACTGTGATGTAAAAGAGGAAGAAATGGTCAAACCAAATCAGTGAAACAAAATGAGTGAAAATGACTTTTTCTGAGCTGAACCCTAAATTATACAAGTTCAAACATAGCATGCAATGCTGTGTCATATCACCTGTGAATTGATTACGGTGGAGACACCATCAAATACAAATGTTCATCATCAGTATGATACGTGGGCTGGTTTTTCACACTGAATGAAATACTGGAACATAAAGATGGGCATGTGAGAAAGTTATGATCTTTCAACCTAACTAAGAGTTTGAAACAGCAACAAAAAAAAAAATCTAACAACTTGAACAGATATTATTTCATATAATCAGACAAGAGAAATTCAGCTAATTAAATTAATAAACAGTAAATAAGAATTAGCTTCCGTAATTCTAATTAATTTTATTCAGCTACTTGATCCAAATCAATTAAACTTTGTCAGCAGCATTTAAATGTGTAAAGGTAACCATTATATTATTTCCATTACTAAGGGAATATTTCAAAAAAGGCTATCAGCCTGTTTATAAGAAAGCAAAAGAAATAGAGTAATATCTTACTGACATAGACAGTGTGGATATACACATCTGTTTAAGACAGCCACATGGCATTGTAATGCCCTGTCTATAATCACAACAAAAAGACATATGTTTTTACACATGTGCAATTAATTTTTGGCCTAGAAGGGTGTTTGCATAAATAATTTAAATGAATGAAAATGATGTAATATTTGTAAGTTTGCTTAAACAATGCACTGCAGAGTATGTACTAAATCCTTGTGACCAGTTAAAAATATTTAGATATATTTATTATTTCGGATTAAACAACTACACTTTGTTTTTAGCATTTTCCATTTACTGAAATATGCTTAGTAAAAACAATGCATTTACTACCCAATTACCGTGTTTGTTTAGGGTTAGGGTTATTTTTCAAACACATCCTCTGTTTCCTAGGATGGAAATTAAACATGTCATAAAATACATACATATTATACATGAAGAAATACAAAATGTGTTTTTGTTCCCTTTCAGTGATAAAGACGTGTTTCATTGTTAGTTTATATTTTTAACACCTAACATATTCACTGAAAATGTCTAAACAAGCAGCAAAAGTAATCTGGTACAGTATGGAATGTGCATTTTTATCTCAGATGAGGACACACACAGTGCTAAAGACTGACAGAAAATGTTAACCTGGCAAAAGATTTAATTTACTGAAGCCTAAACAACAATAACAAAAAACACTGCAAGGGATGGAACATCATCATCCAACAAAGTGCTGACAGAGGAAACTGCAACAATGTGCTGATTGCACTGTACAATCACTCAGGGGAACACACTCACTAATGATGGGTGAAAAAGAGAAAACAGAAGGTGACTGATACTCTGCTTAAACTGTGATTTATATAAACAAGATCAGCCATTAATCATGTCACTGTAGTGACTTATCACCTCCAAACACAACACAGTATCTACAGTATGTACAGTTAAATTACATAATACAGGGACTGCAGAGACTTTCAAGCCATGCGTCCTGTACAATAATCTATCAGCTGCCAAACCTGTCAAAGCCAGTTTTATTGGAAGAAAGCAAAAAAATTTTTTTTTTTCGAAAATACGGTATGATCATATGCGATTAGGCTGCAAACCAAGACACAATGGGCGAGTGAAATATAATAATGCACAACTCTGTCAGAAGTGAGGAGCATTGGTGATAAGAAAAACAAGACTTGCACATACTGATTTTTCAAGGGATAGAAAATAACGATTAAAAACAGACAGATATATGAAACAAGCAAAAACGCTCCTGCTCAATTATTACCCAATCCCACTTGTTTAAAAGAAGGCCTTCACAATTTTCATTTGTTTGAAAAATGAGACGTCTTGAGGAAAAGGATTTGAATTCCTTTGCAAAAACAACCTGAATCCACATTTATTAAAATCCCAGCAGAGAAAGATGAACAGATAAAAATTCAATATAGTAATGTAGGTGGGAATAAAGTGTCATCACAGCTTAATCGCATCATTGGTGGACAGATATAGAACCGTAATCGGCATTAACTGCGATAGTGAAATTTCCTTCTGGCATGTGACTCAGAAAACAAAAAAAATAATAAAAACAATAATAAAAACATTTCCTTGATGGCTAAAGCAAATAAATATAACATTATCAAGTCAAACACAGGGTTCCAGTCACAGAAAAAATAACTGAAAGTACAAATAATTTTGTTCTGAGAAGCATTTTAACAGCTACAAAATACCTTAGAAAGTAACTACTGTCAAGTCACGTTTTAGTGTTTCTGTTGCTAAACGGCTATGCATCCGATCCCTGAACAAATATTTTGTATGATTTCTGGTTGGTTGGAGCCAAGTCGGACTGCATCTTGTGGCCGTTTGCTCTCTTGGGGAACCCTGATTCCTCAGATGAGCTTAGAGCAACAGAAAAAGTAATGACTTGTACTATGCTGTGTGTAGGCCTAATAATAAAAGCTACTTCTGTGGGAATTGGGCCATGCGTGTCAGGTTCTGCTCTCCAGAGTCACAATACCTCAGAGATTTCCACCCTCTCTCAACTGGGGAAGGATAAATTGATGATACAGTGTGGAAGACAAATGAAATTAATCTTCCCAGAACCTGACAGGGATCAGCTTTGGATAGTGAGCACACGCACACATTGTTCTTTACATTTAAGTGTATGTGTGTATATATATATATAAAACAAAATAGCATTCTTAATCAAATGAATACAATTCAACAAAGAGCCTCCCTTATCAGATAGAACAGGTGACAGAAATTTATCTCTTGTTAGCCTTAATAAAAAGCAGCCACTGTGTCTTACAGGCCAATTAAAATCAGGCATTGTGAATGTTTTTTTTTTTCCTTTCCTAATC